CTCGACCCCTGCTTGACCTTTGTCCCCGGCAGCCACAAGACATGTGAAGGGTCCATAGGTGTGTTGGCCATTCAATCTGGCTCGGCTTTCCTGAATCCCCACAATGGTGATCTCTGCATCTTGGAACTGCTGCATCAGTTCAGCTGCCTTATATGTAACAGAGGTTCCAGGCAGAACTTGATCTTGCTCTAATGTGCAGACATTTGCCGAAGCAAAAGTGATTCGGCCTACCCATCTCGAGTCATCCTCAAACTCCTGGGCACTTTTCAATGCATCATCAAAGCAAGACTGTCCAGGTTGAGGTGTACTGTTAACCAGCACCTCCTCCAATGATGGGATCTCATTGTTGGGGCACACCTGCATCCATGCCCATTCTGCCAAACAATGTCGCAAAAGCGGCCCACTACGGAGCACAGCATGAACATGCGGTAGCCATCCATTGGCAGCCAATCCTGCCAACGAATCCACAAATTCATTCCATGGATGCCCTTGGTGTGCGTGGACATGATATCCATACCACTGCCTGTGTTTCCTTTGCAGAATAGACATCAGCACTCTTGCTGACCACTGCCTAGCGGAAACTGTGTGGTCTTGTTGGATCAGATTGGATTTGCCCACAATGCCATATCCAACGGCCGTGGCATCAAAATGCAAGTGTACATCAACAATCTGTGTATTCTGCCTTGAGAGCAAAAATTCAACTGCCGCAATGATTGCTGTAGCCTCCGCATCTTGTGCAGTTTGCTCACATGGTCCAATATCCTCCTGCACTCTACCTGCTGCATAGCCAACGCGGACAAAACGTGAACCTTCATGACCTTTCTGTTCACATAAGACAACAAAAGCCCATGCTGCCTTGCCAGATCTGCATGATCCGTCCGTAAAAACATGAAAGGTGCCACTGGCTTGTCTGCAACCACCAGTCCATTGACAAGCAATTTCCGCAAAAGGGTGTAGAGTCGGGAGGAAAGCAAAATCAGTGTTCAAACCCTGCCAGTCTGGCAACATTAGAGTACTCAAATGCCGGTTGAGCTCATCTAAACACGCACTGGTCTCTGGATCACTGAAATGCAAATTTGAAACTGAGCAATTCCTGCTCTCAGTGACAACACTTTCATTGGCCTGCAAAACTTGCACAGTTTCAAAAGAATGTTTAGTAATCGTTTCAGTCGGTCTAAGCAAATGGTTTCCAGCATCTTTTTCGGCTGATGCAAGAGGGCGAGATTCTTGCACGACGACAGGAACGCTTCCATCTAAATCATCCTGGGCCGTGACCACCTGTTGCCTTAAGCTGTGACAAATTTCAGTGAAGACATCCGTTGTGCAATCTGCACTTTCAACATCCTCATTTGTAGTCCTCAACCACAAAATGGATTTCTGCTGCAAAAAGGAAGTCTCTTCGAGAGATCTGTCATTCTCATCAATAGCTCCTTCCCTCAAGAGCATGGTGAGGATGTGATGACGCTGCCACACATGAAAACGTGCAATCAAAACATCTCCATCTTGCCAATTCCTTTGAACTTCCCTCGCTCTCTGACCTTCCACAAAAAGATGTGGATAAACATTTTGTGATCTGGCATACCGGAACCAAAAGGGGGGGCCAAAAGCTGCCCCTGGAACATTGTGTGCAATGCAATTCCTTGGTACTCTCAATGCCCAAAATTCATCAACAGTGGAAGACTGGTGCGGCATCTCCTCCACTGCCCCTAACTGCTGATGGACAACAATCGCAGCCTCATCATGACCACCATAACTGACAATGAAGTTGAAGCACTCAAAACCTAACTCTTGCATGTCAGCACTGAGATCTGGCACAAAGGAAATGGTGCATTCCGTACTGTCAAATGGCCAAAGCTGCGTGATCACATCAATCCAAACCAGACTTTGAACCTCATTGACACTGAAAATCCCATCTCGCCTGCCCAGCGGTCTGTTGGCTGGAGATATCCCATGCACTGCAAAAGTAACATGTTCTCGCTCAGGCTGAAAAGACATGAGTCGGAAAAACTGCACAAAAAATTCTTCGGCGTTTCCTACTCTTTGCATTGCCTGTACCACTTCTTCGGGTCTTGGTCCTATCCAAGCAAGACAGAAAGTACCATGTTCGAAATCATAGACATTTTCCTCATTGAGAGTGGTCATCCCCAATCGCATTCCACAATCCAGTGTGGTGTATGGCGGGCAATGCTCCTGGAGATGCAATTGGCGGAAGAGATCATACATGATAGAGTGTGTAGACAAAAAGGCAGCATAGTGTTGTGGTCTAACCCTCGTGTCTGACACTGCTCTTTCCAAAACCAGGACACATCGTGCACTTGGTTCTTGCGGTTCTTGCATTTCAACTTTGACAATGAGCACTATGGATTTCTCCCCAGCAATATCCATTGGTTGTGGCGATACACAATACAGAGAAAGGTCTCCATATTGAGCATGATCCTCCCACAGCTCCAGCACATTTCGCATGAGTCCATCCATGTCTCGTGGATGAGCCGTAGTGTCCCTTCTACCCAGGTCTACAAGACCAAGGCCAAAAGTAACCACAGTCCAAATGTCATCTTGTTGCTCTTCCAGCACATCAGCCAGGATGTGTTCAATGTGTTGTTGGGTAGTTTCCATCTGATTGTGCGCAAAACTGATGGATATTCCTTCTTCTTCGGCCAACTCCATCTCATTAACTCCATCATCAACATCATTCCAGGGCTGCTGCCATGGATTGTGGACATGGTTCGCAAGTGGATCGGTGGCCATCAATGAAAGAATTTCATCCTCCTCCGTCTGCACATTTTCCATTGCTTGGTGTTGCTTGTGGGATGATACCCAAGACCAGACAAGATCCGAGTCATTCCCATCCTCAGCAAAATATGATCCATCCCTAGCAATGTCGTCGGTACCATGGAGACTACCAGAAATTGAAGATCCATTTGAGCCTGTCAGTTCAAGATTGATGAGAGAAAAATCTTCAACCCCATCGTCAAGTTCTGAATCTGGAACGTTCGTTGACATCTCACTGTCACCGACTCCAGAAACTTCTCCATCTTCTGGCTCATTCTCCATCACTCGTATCCCACCTTCAACATATCTGTGCTGAGGCACTTCCATTCTGTCATCGTTGATAAATGTCTGAATCTGTCCCCCCTCATGGAACTTGACAAAGCATGATCGTGCTAGGTTTGAGCATGCCCCTTCGACTTGTGCAGTTCTGAAGAAGTCACTAACACTCGAACCACGTGGAAAAATCACGACCCGATGCCTGTAAAGGGGTGGCAAAATAATAGAGTGAAGCATTGTCCATTGCTGATCCATCAACTCTCCTTGAATCAAAACAATATGGAATTTCGTGCTTGGGAGCCTCATGGGTCCATTGTCAATGACTTGGAATCTTACAGCGCTTCCATCATCACGATCACGCCATAGTTCCCTGCAACGTCTTTCAAAATAATCTGCAGAGTGCACCAAGCGAGTATCCAATCTCAATCGCCTGGGCTGGATGCAAAGGTGAAAACGTCCTTCTGAGACAAACCATGTATCAGCAAAGACTGGCCTTGCTCCATCCTCAAGAGCTCCATCCCATTGCAAACATCCCTGCAAATCATTTTCAAAAGCTCCCCAATTGCCGCTGCTCACACGTTTTTCATTGCTCTCAGGGTCATTGGACTCCCTGTCTATTCCTTGCATTGGACCAGATTGATTTTGCTGTTCAGCCTCTGCACCATCTGCCCAGCTATGACATGCTAAGACTTCAGGAAATAGGTCGAAACTGGCACTCTGTCCATGTAAATGCCATAGCGACCTGCAACATTGGTGGAGATCATCAATACCCACATCCACAAAAATGTCGCTCTCATCCTGAAAACACACCAAGGAAACGCATGTGTTGAAATGGACTTTTGATCGGTGCAGATGCCGATGTTGCTGAGTACCCCTTTTCCTACTCATACAGCTTTTCCTGAGACCATGTGACGTCGAGTGGCGCTCCTCACCAGACTCATTGTCTTTCGCCCAGTCCTGGGCTTGGAACCAGAGAGGATCCAAGTTACCCCTCTCCCCGTTCCGTGCCTGATAGTCATCCAATTTGCCTGAATGGGAATCTACTTGTTGGCTGCCATCACTTTTGCATTCTGATGACTCATTTGCCTGGAACCCAAGAAGATCCAAGTTATCCTTCTTGCGGTCCCTCAAACTATGTTCTCCATCCAGAATTTGGTCTGATGCCCGACACCATGTGTAGCACCCATCATCCACACAACCATGTCGTGACTTCTGACTGCTTTGCAATGTGGCCTGAGATTCAAGGAGACCAAAGTGACCCTCCTTGCCATCCCGTAAAAGGCCTTGATCCAACCGATTTCTGTCGCCAAAAAGACCATCACCATTTGAGGCGACTTCATGTGTGCGAAGCTGAAGGCCATCTTCTCTTTTGCCCAAAGATACGCCAACCAGCTGAGACTCAAGAAGATCCAAGTTACCCTTCTTGCAGTCTCTCATAATGTCTTTTCCAACCAAAGATTGAGCTGCTGCCCGACACCAAGTGTAGCAATCATCATCAACACTGTCTTGTCGCCGCTGCTGATTCTTTTGCGATATGGCCTGAGATCCAAGGAGATCCATGTGACCCTCCTTGCAATCCCGTAAAAGGCCTCGATTCGAATGATTCTTCTTTCCATGGTTGTCCTTGACTTTCAAGGAGGCTCCACCTGCAAATAGCCGGGGTTCAAACTCCTTGTGACTCTCTGATGCACGCTGCTGTAAACAAGCACATGAAGCTGTCACTGGTGTCATGAATGCACCATTCCCCACATGCTTCATTGCGTCATCCCTGTCCATGTGACTCTTGCCCTCATGCGAACCGCTGTGACAATCATCGACATGGTGCACCCAATCTAACCATGAATAACTGCCGTTCCACAGCTCTTGCATGCTGTCGAGCCATCTCCTACCCACTTCTTGACCACTGACGGAGGCTGCATGTGCAGTTTCAAAGTTTTTGCCACACTCACCTCCTAATCTTTGGCCTTGTTCTCCTTGCTGTCGTGGGACTTGATCTTCAAATGTTGGTTGGCCACCTTTGTCGGAGAGGTGGCACCCCTGAAGCCTTTGTGCACCTTCGGCGAGTTCTTGAAATTCTGTCCTCGCCCAGTCCCCAATGGCTCTTCGTCCTCCTCCATGTCTTCTGTTAGATCCACCGGACCTACAACACTTTCCAAGTCTACCACCTCCTGCATTGCCTGCATCTGCATGCCCACATCGGGAACTGTCACTTGAACTGGCTCCTGTGGATCTGTCGCCAACATCTGCATCGAGGCTGTGCTGAGCTCTCTTTTGAGAGATTCCAACTCGGCTAGCTTCTTGTTGTAGGTTTCGAGCATGTCCGCCCGACATGATTGGTACATGCTCGCATGTTCTTTCACTTTCGACATGGTCTTGTCGACAAAGCTGGACCATTCCTGGTCTAACTCCGCAATTCTCTTTCCTGCATTGTTCACCTGCGTCTTGACTTTGCGAAGACGATTCAGATGCCCATGGTTGAGAGGCTTGATCATGTTGCCATTCTGCTGCTTGGCCAAGTGGACTTCCAACTTCCGCTGCATGCTCTCGGTCAAATCGAGATTGGCATTCTGTAATGCTCTGAGGTGTTCCAGCAATTTCTCCTCTTCCACCGTCAATGTGAGTTCTGTATCCTCGACATTGGGAGGCTGCACCACCGACTGTGCTGTTGCTGCATTGCATCCAGCTCCATCTGTGGTCTCCTCCTTCTTCATCACACGACTTGAGGGAGTAGTTGGGATCCATGGAGCTTTGACTGGAAAAACGGCCCAATCTGTCCCTTCCTTCTGTGGCTTTTGCTCTTCTGTAGCTTTGTACGAGGAGGCTGCTTTCACACTCTTGCTTCTGGAACGTCTCTTTGGTTGTGTCCATACCGCTGACCAGTGAGCCTGGCATGTGCGGCAATACTCTTGACGCTCTCCATTGTTCTGTTTGCATGTCTGACAAAACCAAGTCATCTCTACACTTTGTCGAATTTGAAGAGGAATCTGTTGCCACTGAAATGAATGATGCCCGGATAGTGTCCAGATACACTTCCTCAGTTTTCTCCGAGTCCTCTTCCCAAGAGCCACCAAAGAAACCTTGCTGATGAAGCTCCTGCACCTTTGCCTCGTCTTGCGAAGCTTGCGGTGCCACAACGGTTCTTTGATGTTCCTCGCCAGAGTTGTAGATGTTGGCCCAAATGCCAGCCCACACGCAAAACACGAGGAGTCGACCACCCATCCACGGCCGAAACTCCCCTGAGGCTAAATGCTAGGAACCCAGCTGATACCACGCTACTGGATCCCCTAAGCCGAAACCTTAACATATATATATATATATATAAACAATATATATATATAATATGAATAATATATATATATAAGTAGACAAGAAAATTCCATAGCTTTACCCAGGAAATGAGCTATATAGTGGATCTTCCGTATCTGTTAACGGACTGAAACAACATCGGAAAATCACAGACTGAGACAATTAGACTCTAAGTTCGGATGTGAATTGATAGGCTGAACTCAAATTTAGAGAAGCTGGCCAGAGAATCATGGACCTAGCAACAATGCTGGGCATAATTCGGAATGACGGTTGGTACAGCTAACTATCCCAGCATAAACATTTCAGGTTAATTAAGTGAATTATTATACGTAATTATGCAGGTACTTGAAAGTTCGTGATAATGATCCAAGTTTGATATCTACCTCCTCCTGCAGCTGCTTTGCTGCCACTGCCGCTGCTAGTTATAGTAATTTTCATACGAATGATAACGATAGCACCACCAATGATAGGATTATAGCACCATATAGCACCCAAAAAAGATAGAACAGTAACAGATCCCCCTCCAATAGTGATGAGCTTGACCTTTTCGGTATTTTTTCGGGGGTTACTTTAATCATAATCACACAAAGACGACATCTTTGGCGCATTCAGGTGGCCGCCAGTATGCGGACCACCTACCCCAACATGCCCATGGTGGTCCGGGCCCACGTCGGGAGAACCCAGCGGCTTTCGATGAAATGGACTTTTGACATCTTTTGACCTTTGGAAATAATATTAACGCTCATTGGATATATAATTAATGGGATTTAATGGGATATTTCCCAACATTTACGACTCGTAATGGTATGACATATCCCATGAAACATCCGTCCATAACTTCCCGTCACTTCCATTTTCCTGGGTTTAGACGGTTTAGGTGATCGCACTTCAAACTTCGCCACAGTTGAGCCACCAAAAGCCGATATTAAAAGATTCCTTATAATATATCAATCCATCAATCCCAGAATTGGTTGCAGGGAACATTTGCAGGAACCCTGTATCTACATTCGCGCGTAAAAACCATTGTTTCTGGCTTCTGGATTTTCCCAAAAAGAAAACCAGCCATTGAACCACAGAAAAGCTGGAAATTCATTGCTAATATGTATCAACACACACACAGCATATATATATATACATATCAACATAACATATATCAACATATATTAACATATACCCTCTGGTGAACTAACATAGCAATTGAACATGGCCATAGAAATAGTGGATTTTCCCATTAAAAATGGTGGATCTTTCCATTGACCAATCGACCCTCTTTCCACCACCGCTTCGTCGTCCGTCCAGGATGAGCAGCATGTGAAATGGCTGGAGGAGACGTTGAATGTGAAGGTCGGAGCTGAGGGCGGGCGGAAGGACTGGAAAATCAATGGAAAATCAATGGTTAATGATGGTTTAATGATGGTTAATAATATATGGTTAATGATGGTTAATGATATCTGGTTGGTGACTGGAACCATGGAATTTTGAATGACTTTCCATTCAGTGGTTTATAAGTCCAATAACTATGGTTTATAGATGATATAATACTGGTTGGTGGTTTGGAACATGGATTTTATGACTTTCCATTCAGTTGGGAATGTCATAATCCCAACTGACGTTCACTCCATGATTTTTCAGAGACCACCAACCAGTTAGATTTCATGGGATGAACTTGATATGAGATTTATGTGTTTGAGAAAATGCTGGATAGTGTAAATTGAAAATTGCCATTGAATGAACATGAGGTAAAAAAAACAAAAAACAGTAGATTTTGAGGTACACGGTGCCCGGGAAGCCCGTTATTTTCAGAGAAACCCGTGTAGAAATGATAGCAGGTATTCCAATTATTGTTGGTGAACATCCCCCGTTATTCCACTATCCTCATGAAATATCATGAAATATCATGAAATATCATGACATATCATGAAGTATCATGAAATATCATGAAATATCCACATGAATATTTACATGCAAAACATTCCCAGTACATTCCCATTTCGGTTATTCATCTTATAAATTACACATATATCATACCCATAGGATCCATGGTGCTGGTATATATGCTAACATGGATCCCATCAATATACCCCCAGTCATGTTAGCATTAATATACCATAATTCCATGGATCCGTCATGGGATATCAGTGGTATTTCTAGTGACCAATGAGAAATCAATGGGAATTTCAGGATCCAACAGATGGAGCTACGTTAGTACCATATAATATTGGCCATATTTTATGGGGATGTTCCCTGAAACTAAGGCCTGAAACATAGGCCTTATATTAATGGTAGGTACCTCCAATGAGATGATCGCCTTGTTTTCCGCCAGGCTTTAGTGCCGGAGATGATCGCAGTGCGTGGGCCGGCTGAGATGGACGGTTCGATGGACGGTTCGATGGACGGTTCGATGGACGGTTCGATGGCCGGTATTGGTTGGTTTGGGAAAATCTTCACCGGAAACACATGGGGCCATGGGTTTTCCCCATGAACTATAACATCCATTGATATATATATATATGAAATATACTGATATATGAAATCCAGTTCATGATATAAAAATGGATATATACTAAATGAAATTATGAAATTATGCTGAGACAAGGAACTCTGCGGAACTTTTTGGAACGATTTTTTGTGATCATTTTTCGTACTGGCGAGACGGCCATTGACAAAAAACAATCCAAGTTTCTTGCTGAAGTTGTTGAAAACGGATCCAGTAAGCTGAATCTTCAGGAACCCCCACTTTCAAAGCCTCGAAGGCACTCAATGTCCTCCATGTGTGGCGGTTGTAGGGTTACCGTCATTTTCAAAGCCTAAGTTTGGAAGCTTGGTTTGCTACTGTTCTCTAGTCCATTGGGACACGCACACACACACATATATATATGTAGCGATATATATATATATATATACATAGATATCCATATATAAATGGCTACTTGTGTCCCAAATGGGGAGGCTCCAAAAAACTAATCCATTAAGACCATTTTTTTTTGTGTTTCGATGGTCTGAGTATAGGACAGTAGATTTACCAGTTTGGGGATCGCATCGCCACAACGAGGTTTTGGCACTGCGGTCTTTTCGCGGCTGGGCTATCCGCAGGAGCACTGGCCCGTGGGCCAGGGACATGGGGACAAGGACATAGATCGCCATGAGGCTCGGAGGTTTAACAGTTCTGGCGGCATCCATAATATGGTCATCGGTGGCTGTGCCTTATTTGAACTTCCATACTTTGATTGTTCTGGCCCATGTTTACGTTGCCATAATGTAGCACCTTTGCTGAAAGGTGAGTTCAAGAGTCATCGAGAAACTCCTGAGCCAGGGTTAAAGTGGTGGGTCCTCTTTGCGCGGCTTTGGATGCGCGCAAAGGAAACCTCGGCCATTTGTTTGTGAAGCATCCCTTTGATCCAACTTGTACGTTCACCATAATTCGCCTGTATTGCGATCAAATCGGTCCCCGTGTTCATTGGAGACGCCAGTGACAAATCCCGTTTTGTTGAGTCCAATCGGGAGTTTTTGTGGACGAAACCTGGTGCCACGTTACATCTCACTGTCGTGTTGAGTTGCGAGGCTATACGTTAACCATACGTTAAACCTATCGACCAGTTCTATCCATCGGAAGATCTCAAATCTATCGAAACCAAAGCTCTTCCCTCATTGATGGTCTAACCATCTCTACTCTATCCGGATAAAATATTTTAGAATTCCATAGGTATATAAGTTTAAAAGTCCGCCCCCATTCTATATCTAAATGCCCCCCCGTTCCATTTCGGGAGTAACTCCCCCGATGTCAGGACGAGGTGAAGGCGGTGATCCAGGAGACCGAGCTGCTTATGCGGGATCCATGGGGACGATCTCGGGGTTTTCCATGGGGAGTGTAGGAGCAGATCACTCTGGAGATCGTTGGGGGCCCCAGGTTGCCAGCAGATGATGCAGCTGGTGAGAATCATTACATACTCCATACTCCAAACATTTGGACATTGCTCAAGACATACTCCAAACAACCGTGTTAACTACCCCCTTAAATGAGTTTCACATTAATTTGAAACTCATTCTCCAACCATTGCCCACCCCCCAAAAAAGCACCGCTTTGCCCACCCCAGGCAGAGATTGGAAGGGAGACCGACCAGGCGGATATTGAATATTCTTATCAACATCGGCAGTGGGATATTGATGTGGCTAAAACAATGCCATGGAAATACCATTTTTTGCTTGGTGGTATACCATGGTATACCAGTCATGGGTGGTAAAAATGGCAAACTGTTTTAGCCACATAGAAAAATCCCATCCCATTGATCATATCACCATGATTATCCCAAATCCCATTAAATAACCATTAAATAACCATTAAATAACCAAATATATGGCAACGTCCCGGCCTCTTGGGACCAGGCCAACTCCGTGAAGGGCGCCGCGGAGGAATCCGCCAAAGGCAGATGGGATGGGTAGTTGTCCATATAATGTTAACCAGTGGTGAACCATATCTAGATGGTGGCTTATCATTAAGCATCTTAGTTAATGGTGGCTATAATCATAGTATATCATAGTTATTACCATCATCAATAGTGGTACCACTATAGTTCTGACCCTGGATTCATAAACCCCAAACGGCTGTTTAATTGGGAGCGTACCATAAAAAAGTATCAGACAATGACTATTGGAGGAGTACCCCCCTAATGAATAAACCATGGTTTATTCATCCGGGGTTGACATTGTTCCATAGCTATGTGAATTTACCACCTGGGCCCTGGGCTTATCCCATGCAGGCGACGAAAAAAAGAGCTGATGACAGGCCAAAAATGGCCATGGGGGCCTTCGGGAAATCGGTTCGGGCAGTGCTGAATGTGGCAGGTTTTTTTCATGGTCAGACGACTTGGTAGACGACTTGGAAACGCTGGTTTCATAGGTTTCTGAATGAACCGATAATTTTTATCATATTCTCCTAGGAGGATGGGGTAACTTTCCCAGCATTGGTTGAAGGGAACATTAACGGTGCCCCAATGAATTTGGGTAAAACCCCAAGGTGAAACCAGTGAAAAAACTCTCAACACAACCAATCCATTGTTAACTTTGTTTGGGCGTCCAATTTTGCATGATCCGCACTTTTTGGTTATTAGGATTCAGTTGGGATGAGTACGTGATGTCCGAGGAGTTCTTCACAGGGGGGATCTCAAAGCCATTCCTTTCCCCATTAAAGATAAACAATTTAGGAACATGTTAGCGTCTACTTTCGGAAATCACCCTCCATTTTTTTGGGAGGGCCATTTTTTTAAAGTCTCCATCTTAATCATCATTAGTCTTCATTTCTAGCAAGAATCGGGATTTTGAGTCGTTTTCGGCATTTCTTTTGAGTAATTTTCATCATATAGCCCTTTCTTTTGAGCCATGGTTTTATGTTCCACTCATCAACGCCTCAGGCGACACCGTTCATCGTTTATCGCCGGCGCGATGAAGACACCGTAGCGGCTGAGGGAAAAAAAGAGAGAAAGGTTGGTTCTGGGAATGGTTTACTTTCTGGTTATCTCTGGTTATTTTTTCCATAGCTATGGAAAATGGATGAGAATGGCCCATAGGTAGACGATAAACATATTAAACATGATGATTTAGCTCTGAAAAATGGTGATATCAGTGGGAATATGATGGGATGTCATTGGACATACCCTCTGCTTACCCTGGTTCAAACATGGCACTTGGAAATCCCCGAGCCCTGGAGCAGCCTCGTTCGCCAGGGTGAAAAATCATCGAAGGAAATGGGGATTCATCCATTGCCATGGTTTCACGGAGGCTAATCCCATGAAAAATCGTGATTTTTCGTGGGATGTCATGGGAGTTGATGCGGATACAATTTTGGATATCATGGCAGGGATATAATGAATGGGATTCCGCAGAGATTTGCTTCTGGGATTGATTTTGGAATGATATAGATGATATAGGGACTATACAAGGGATGTAATGATATATATATATATATATACATAATGGGGGATATAGCTAACAAGAATAGGGAGGATCAGCTAAGCGTAATTGGGGATATCCCATCTCCCTAACATGAAATACCCCCATGGTGTCCCATGGTCCTAAATATGTGATTTAATCTCCTACATCTGACAGTTTCTGGGAGGTGTTCAAGGGCTGAATGGGGGTTCGTTCGGATTCTTCACCCGGGATATCTCTCATTGGTTTTTTTCATCATCTCATCCCACTCAGACATGATGATCAATAGGGGAAGAGCAGCCCCCAAAGGTGGATGATTTCACAGTTTGGAATTGCGATCAACTGTTCGTATTAGCCAGATCTTGCAGTATTTTACTATATGGTGTGATGTCACCAAGAGGCTAGCTTTCCTGGATTGTAGCCATAGATCATCTCGGATGGTCACTTGGTTTAGGATTATACCATCTGGCAAAGTGAACATAATCATTTTAAACATAGGTAAATCATCATGAATCATCTATAATTATGGACCATTTTCCATAGCTATGGCACAAATCACCAGTGGGTAGGTCTTACAAAGAGCCAGCCCAGAGTGGTTTAGTCTCCGCTGAAGGGACCAAACATGGTGGTTTTCCATGGCTACCGGTATGTTAGTTTACCAGAGGCTATAGTAACCGCCAAAAAAAAAAGAAATTGATCGCTGTTTTTTGAGCAACTCCTACAAGAAGGTTTTATTAATTAACAATAACCACCACCAATTAGTTAATTATGAACTGGTTGGTGGTTTCAAACATTTTTATTTTTCCATAGTATATGGGACAATCCTTCCCATTGACGAACTCATATTTTTCAAGATGGTTAAAGCCACCAAGCAGTGAATGTTGAGAAGGGGTTACCCTCTGGTAAACATACAAAAAGCCATTGAAAATGGCCATTGATAGTGAGTTTTCCCATTAAAAATGGTGATTGTCCATAGTTATGTTAGTTTACCAGAGGGTAGTTCTACCTTTTCTATCCAGGGGGTTGTGCCTCTTGGTTCGTGTGCCTTTTCAACATGCTCCCCGCAGGTTGGAGAGCACTTTGCCCGCATTACCGTGCCGCTCTACGAGGTGGTCTGCCAGCGAAAGGTGAAACCGTTCGTGAAACTGATGGTTAATGATGGTTTATGATGGTTAATGATGGTTCATAATATCTGGTTGGTGGTGACTGGAACATGAATTTTATGACTTTCCATGAATTGGGAATGTCATCATCCCATCTGACTAATATTTTTCAGAGGGGTTGAAACCATTTGAAACCACCAACCAGTGAAACCATGGGTTTTTTTAAACCTCTGAAAATCTCAGGGGTTTTCCTCATTTTTGTCTCACTGGAGTTTTTTTAATTCATCATTGCCCAAGATACCTGAAGTTCGTCATCTGTCGTTGCGGAGCATATTCAAAAGCGCGTATGTTGGATTCATCTTCATCCATAGATTTCCATAGGTTCCCATAGATTTCTGTGGATTTCCTGGTTCGTTTCTTTGTCATCGATCATAATCGATATGGATCCACTCAGCCAGTTGACCACCTTGGACAGGTCTCGCCTGTTCTGTCTGTGCGGGGGGCTTGGATCAACGTGAGGAACTGTGGGGCAGCCCTTGTACCAATGATAGTCATGCGGGTTTTCCATGGTGCCATCCAGAATTTCCCTACTGTTTAATCATTTGCACCATTTGGGTCTAAAGATAAATGAGATCTGTTTGAAACTATTTACAATTTGCCTAATCTTTACATTGATTTTGATGATGTTTTTTGCCATTTGTCCACCAAAAAGCGGGGTAGAGCTAAGGTTTACCACATTCGCCAGTGTAAAGGACTTGGCGCTCAAGGAACATCCAAGGATGGGGTCTAACAATCATGGGAGCCAAACAGACATAATATGAATGAGAAACATATAGAAGAATACAGAATACAATAACAACAATAATAATAAAGGAGAATACAGAATACCAACAAAATTAATAATAAATAACAATAATGGTAATAATAAATAACAATAGTAAAAAAAATAATGATAATAAAAATGATAAACATAACATATCGATCAATAATCATAACGATAATAATAATGATAATAATAATGGTTATATATATATATATATGTCGGAACATAAAAAGGAAAATAATGAGAAAAGAGCGAACGAGAGCAAACCTAGATATGATGTCCTATGACAGTCCAAGGCAAACTGCATCATCCCAACAGGTCGACCCATACCCACCTTGCGTGTAACACCGGTGGGCTGGAAATTCTTTTTCAAATACATATATATATATATAATACATATATATATATAATACATATATATATATAATACATATATATATATAATATATGTAATTTATAAAATATATATAATATATAATATATATAATATATATATTATATACAATAATGTATATACGTGTGTGTGTGTGTGTATCTCTTCCTCTCCCCTCTCCCCCTACATAATCTTATATAATCCCAAAAATCCACCTATCACATCCTGAAAAACACTGGTGGTCTCCTGTTTGCCTCCGGTGAGGCCCTGTTTGAAGTGGCCAAAGCATAGAAGTCAAGTGCTCCTTTGCAGCAACAGCGATCTCAGAAAGGGCCGCGTTCCAGTTTGAACGTAGCCACACTTTTATTTTAAACATCCTAACTTTCCATAGGTTAAAATCCCTTGTGCGTACCATTTTTGTTCCACCCCAGGCCCCCGCGTCTCGTGGAGGGTACGGCAACAGGAATTCTTCAGGATGAGGATCCTCAACTGTAAAGAAAAACGAAAGTATCCTCAATGGTAAGATGGTGAGTATCCTCAACATGTTTGGATATTGCTTATACATATATATATATAATTATATAATTATATATATATGTATATTTATTTGTTTATTTATTTATTTATTTATTCAAATTTTGTTCTCAAGATTTTGAAGTTTTCCCATGATCCCTCTGAGGCACGCAGCTCTGGAGAAGAGGCGCTGCTCACTGCTGAGAGCAGATGGGTCGGCGTGATGAAGTGGTTGATACAATGTTGGTGGCACCAAAGTGGCTTTATAGTATGATACAGTATCATATATGATATATGATATATGATATATGATATATATATATATGTGAATGTTATATACTGTATAGGTGTGTGTTTTTTCTCTGGAAGATTTTCATGTGTTTTTTCCATTTTTTCCCCCAGGGTTCTGATGAGGGCTTTTTGTTCATCGCAAGTCATGAACAGTTGAAGCTACAGCAACGACTCTTCGTTTTCACGTCTCAGATCTCAATGAATCCCCAAACTAGTGATGATTTCTTATTTAGATTCCGTTGATTTTTGCCATACACTTGGATTTTCGGCCGTTTTGGGTTGAATGGATTTACAATCGGATTTACCATAAAAGTCATCATTTATCTCACTAGACGTTCCAGATTTACCCTCAGGTAGTTTAACATATCTATGGACATCATGATATAATCTATTTTTGATGCTTAAAGCCCAAATTTGAATATATTTGACGGATAATTCCTATATTTTTCCATATGGCCCATTGACCAATCAACACGATCAAGTGATGTTCTGTGGCGTAAACCGTGGCCGTGAAAAAATGGCGGGTTTCATCCAGGCCCGGCCTCGCGGTGGCCCCAGACCAGGAGAGCAGCTCGAGAATTCATGTTTTTTATATGGCAATGTTTTAATGGCAATATATGGGTGGATTACTCATCAACTTAAGTTCTAATAATAGTTCTGAAATGTGGATAATTCATAAACTTAAGTTAGAATAAATAGCTAATTACTAATTCCGCATGTTTCATGGTCTGTTTACCTACATTGGAGTCACTCTTGGGCTAAATGTTGGTATGTATTCCATACATGGAGCATTTGGGAATAGCCAATTCATCTTGATAAATTATAACAACCTCACTGTGACGTCACTGGAATGATGGTTGGTAGTAACTATCCCCAAATGGCCTCAGTCCAGGTCAGAGAATTACTGCTAATTATCCAGAGTAGTAGGCGCAGTCAATTAGTGTAGGATTACTTAATAGTAATAATTATCAATAGTAGGATAGTCTAGGATAGGCACTACTAATTCCTACTAATTACTACGAATTATCGATGAACGATTACTATTTGATTTTATTTATACTTATGTCATCCGGGCTCATGAATGTTGATAAGAACCATTGATGACATTACCTTTGAATTGCTTGATAATCATGGTGAATTTAGTTGACAATGATATTTATAAAGCAATGAACCACTAATCAGTTTTTATGATATTCCATGAGTGGTCACCGTATGTTATTATTAATGTTACTAATGTCATTGGGGTAAATATGTAAATAAATGTTAATAAGTAATACTGATTCATTGGCTAATACATGGGTGAGTATGAATCTTAGCAACTGAACAAGCTGATCGTGGTGGATATTCTTTGGAACTCAGTATGTCCACACACATATAAAATTATACATATATATATAATTACACTGAGTAGACGTTGGCCAATTCAGATTCAATGTGTTCATCGCTGCTGCAATTCTGATGGGGGGAACAGGCTTTAAGCCTGGGTTAAGTTGTACAAGTTGGCAACTGGTATCCTCTGGTAATTTG